GGATTTACTGGGGTAAAGTGTGCATATAAATGCATATGTTAGTGAAACTAGTCTACAAAGGTCATATTACTGGAAATTTATTTTCAAAAATGTATGTGGCTGGTTAAAGTGCATACGAAAATGTGTTTATTAGGGTAAATTCACTAATATGTGGATGAATTTTCATAAGGACTTTATTTCCCCCCTCTCCTGCAAATTAACATAGTAATATGGAGAACTGAACGGGGGAAAAATGAGAAGCTGCGAGAAACCGAAACGAGCATGTTTGAAATTGACATATAGCTCTTTTTGTGTGTGTTCATTTTTTAGTGTTTCAGTCACACTAGTAGGCACAACACAGCTGTGTGGGTGGGAAAGAGATGGTGCATCTGAGCATGCCATTTAAAAATAGCAACACTATCATCTATCATTGTTGTCCATTTAAAAAAAAATGCACAAAAGCCCTTTTTAAACTTAGGCACTGCTGTCTGATGTTATCAGTAGAGGTGTGCTCAAGTGCCTGTGCGTCGATACAGCCACCCACCTAGTGTGTCATTGCACACATCAAACCCGTGCCTCTTAAAAAGACAGAAGAAGAGTGCCAGGGAAGCCTTCAGCCTGCCTGGTCCCCTCTAGATGTTTCAGACTACAATTCCCATCAGCTCCAGCTGCATTAAGATGATCTACACCTGCAGAGATGGTTCTGCTGTTCTGTTCTACCACCAAGCAGCCAATTAACATTCGTATTTTACAAATGAGGAGCACTGAGACTGAGAGATTTTGCACACGCACACACACACACACACAAAATTGCTAGAAATTTTACTTGCCATTGTTAAAACTACTGGGAATCAGGAACACTTACTGATCTCCTGTAATAATAATAATAATAATAATAATAATAATAATAATAATAATAATAAATTTTATTTATATCCCGCCCTCCCCAGCCGAAGCCGGGCTCAGGGCGGCTAACAACAATCAAATAATCAGTCAAATAATCACACATTCTAAAAATATTTCATTATAAAAATTAATTAAAATCAAATTGATGGCAACCGATTAGGCAAAATTCTGTGCAGGTTGCCAGAGGAGGGAGTCAGGCTGCGCCCTGACCAAAGGCCTGGTGGAACAGCTCTGTCTTGCAGGCCCTGCGGAAAGATGTCAGGTCAGCAAATCACATAGGGAGATTTTCAGGTAGAACTCAGATCTAGCTCCTGCATACCCCGACCCATTTTTATTAGGAAAGCAGAAAGGCACCTTGCAGCCAGCAAGTTAATCCATTGCCCCATCCAGCTCATTATCCTCTCCAACGAGTAGCATAGTTCTCCAGTGGCTTAGACAGGAGGCTTTGCCTGCCCTATCTGGAGATAGCAGAGAATTCATCCTGGGACTTTCTGCGTGCAGAATATGTGCTCTGACACCGAGTTGCGTTCTGTCACCTTCAACAACTGGGGCAGGGAGGAGGAAGATTATTACCCCATGGGATTCAAAAGCAAGGCAGATAGTGTCTGGCCCTGGAATATCCCAGTGGCTCACAGTGACCCTGCCCTATAGCTGAAGCGATTGGGGCAGGCAGTCCAGGCAGCCAAAGCCTTGGTTGTTGGTATGTAGGCCACATTAGGAAACTTGAGCCTTTACTCACAGAGTGACGGCACCAATTGTATCTATTTCTGAAGGCCTTGTGCCCCTGACAGGCCTGATTTGCTGTTGCCACCGAACCTTCCCAGCGATTTGGTGAAACGGGCACTCCAGCTGATTAGAAACACCAGAATGTTTATGCCCCTGAACGATGTGCCATGACACAGGTTAATTGGAGATGGAGGCTGAAATAACAGTGCCTTGCCCAAGGTTACTCTAGTGGGTCTGTGGTGGATGTGAGGCTCTTTGTGTGGGTATAGGTCTCCGAAGGCCTTAAGTATAGAGAGCCTGTGTGGAATACCGAACAGAGCAAGTGTTTCCAGCCTTTTTGGGCCTAGGGCTATGTTTGGAAGCTCAGGGAGCTCCCCCAGGCACCACAAAATACCCATTTCACAGAAAGAGAAGCAAAGATGCTCAGAACCCCAACTTCCTCCGGAAAAAACAGGAAAAACATCTACACAGTACACTCACACCCATACAAGTCAAATCCTTTCTGTTTTTAAAAAGACGTGATGGGCACATAGCAGTCAAGCGTACCTTATTTGAAGGGACAGTCCCTTATTCCAGCACCATGTCCCGCTGCTGTCCCTTAAATGATGTCCCTTAAATTTCAAAGGAAGCAGCTCCTCTCCCTCCCTCCCTGCCGGCCAGGGAGGAGGAAGGCTCCAACTGTGTTGCTTGGCTGTGTTGCTCACCTAATAAGAAGTCTAAGAACGACTGGGGAGCATGAGCTTGCATGCCTTGTGCTGATCAAATTGGCTGCGTTCCCTGGGGACTCGCCTTTGCTCAGCGCTTCCCAGCGGAGAGGTGACAGTGGTTTTCCTTGAGGCTTCGTTTGGCTGCTGGGCTTTCTGCCTTTGGCTCAGAGGGGCTCAGAAGTTGAACATACCTGTGCTGAGTGCTTGGATCGGAATCGGATGGATACGTCATCGACGGCCCACTCACCCTTGCCAGCGAAAAGGTCTGTCTGGAGCGGGGGCACACGGTGGGGGAAAAGGAAAGGAGATCTCGTGGGAGCGGGGCTTTTGAATTTGTTTTGGAGGCTCCTTCGATTGACTTATGGGGGGAAAGAAAGGAGCTGGTTGACTAAAATGGTGGGTGACTGGCGATCTCGTGGCGAGAGGGGGAGGCTGTGTGTGTGTGGCTAGTTAATGCAAGCTGAGGGGGGGTTTGAATGCTGGACGCCATTTTGTTGCACGTGCTGCTGCAAACTTTGCAGTGCAAAGCCAGGCTGGGGAGCCATCTTAAGTTGAGGCTGCATAGGCCTTGTGGTGCATGTGATTCAGATTCTATTCAGTTGAACGTTTGGTTAAAAAGTTGGTTGGACAGTGTTCTCGAAGCTACCAGCATGAGTTTGACCAGACTGCAGGAGGACAGGAAGACTGGAGTGCCTGGAATAGGTGAGGCTGCAGGTCCCTTATTTTGGCTGCTGATCCCTTATTTTCAAGTCTCCTGGTCCCTTATTTTCAAATCTGTAAGTTGACAGCTATGGATGGGCATGGGGCTTTTGTGGGCACCAAGGACGTGTATGAGGGCATAATAGGGTCCACAGGTTCTACACTGTGGGTCCCAAGAGCTAGAATGTCAAACTAAGACAGTGGATGCAAGGGTTCAAATCCCTACTCAGCCATGTCACTCACTGGGCGACCTGGAGCTAGCTACTATATTCCTCAGCCTACCTTCCTTCAGCACAAACTTTAGGAATTACTGGTCTACATTGTCTAAACAGACCTTTGGCAACCATCTTCCAAAGCCAAGCTACCTTTCAATTGACTGTCATTATCTTGTCATCGCTCCCCAACAATATTTGACAGGTACATGTGTTTTCTCTCTTATATAATTCTGTTCATATCCCACTTTTCCTTCAAAGTGGGCTTTTGCCAACATGGCATGCATGATCTCCTCATCTGTTATACTCTCAACAACATTGTGATGTAAATCCAACTGAAAAATAGTGGCTGGCCCAAAGGCACCCAGTGACCTTCATGGCTGAATGGAGATTTGAACCTGGGTCCCAGTGCTATCGTAGCACTCTGTAAAAACTAAGCCCTACTTACACACTCAAAAAGTAAACATTTTCATGGTGTAAGTATGCCTTTCAGATACACCCCCCCCCCCACATACACACACTTCAGCTAGAAGACTGAGAGCGTTGCTTTAAATGTCTTAAGTGAACAAAATACTAATCAGAGGAGGCTGCTTGTTATTTGATGGTTACTAATGGTGGGTGAATCTCATGTTCCCACTTTTATGTTCAGTTTGCCACATTTCTGAAGCAGTTTGTAGATTACTATTTTAAAGTCACAAAAATTCACCAGCATTTTAGTGGTCATTGCTCCTAATAGACACATTTTTGTATGCAATTTTGCAAGCAATTTCCCCTAATGCAATGCATTTTCATATGTTATTTTCACTAATATATGCATTTTTATGTACAATGCTGTTTGCTTTTTGGTCAAAGAACCACATTGCAAAAATCTGGAGAACTTCAAATTTGAAAGGATATTTGTGTTTTGGTTTGCATATTATTTGAGGAAGGGCAAATTACGTAGGTTTGCATTAAAATGTGAACATTTTTTGTTAGCTTTTATTTTTCAGTTTAGGGAAATGCTTGTAGCAAAAAATCACCATCTACCCCCTCACCCACCAAGAAACACTTCATGCATATGCAGTGTGAATTATAGTAAAATATTAAGCACGTTTGGATAACACTTTTGTTTTCATTATACTGTACCAGTTATGCACCTTAACTGCCTTAACAGGTTCCCAGAGTGAACCATGGGTAAAAAGGTAAAGGTACCCCTGCCCGTACGGGCCAGTCTTGACAGACTCTAGGGTTGTGCGCCCATCTCACTCAAGAGGCCGAGGGCCAGCACTGTCCGGAGACACTTCCGGGTCACGTGGCCAGCGTGACAAAGCTGCATCTGGCGAGCCAGCGCAGCACACGGAAACGCCGTTTACCTTCCTGCCAGTAAGCGGTCCCTATTTATCTACTTGCACCCGGGGGTGCTTTCGAACTGCTAGGTTGGCAGGCGCTGGGACCGAACGACGGGAGCGCACCCCGCCACGGGGATTCGAACCACCGACCTTTTGATCAGCAAGCCCTAGGCGCTGAGGCTTTTACCCACAGCGCCACCCGCGTCCCATGGGTAGCCAGTGGTTAAAGGGTTACGCTGTGTTTTCTCAAATGTACTTAATAAACATGTACCATACAGTTTCAAAATTGCCTTCTGTCTTCCGTGTCTCTTAGTGCATTAAAATGTGAAATGAAATGAATTTCTACCCTAATGGTTACCACTTCAGATAATTATTTTAACCTTTTGCCTCAGACAGCTCGTCTCTCTAATTCTCTGCCTTGTTTTCTCTCTCTTCTGCTCCAGCCTTATTTCTGGACATCATCATTGTGGCTGGCTTACAGAAGATGGCCAAGCGAAAGGGCCCATATGACGTAAGCCCAGGCCTGTTGGACTACTTGACCATGGACGTCTATGCTTTTCCAGCAGGACACGCCAGCCGAGCTGCCATGGTATCCAAGTTCTTCCTCAACCACCTGGTCTTAGCTGTGCCGCTTCGGATCTTAATTGTGATCTGGGCCTTCTTGGTGGGACTTTCCCGGATCATGGTTGGGCGGCACCATGTCACCGACGTCCTTTCTGGATTCGTGTTTGGCTATTTGCAGTTTAGGCTGGTGGAGGTGATGTGGATGTCTTCTAATACTTGCCAGATGTTGATCTCCATGTGGTGAAACAGCAGCAACGCACTGTCCTTTCCCCCTTATTTTTACATAATGAAGACTTGAATACACTTTCGAAAACGAAACACAGTACACAAACCTCCACGTGCTGGGAATGAGTATCAACTTCCACCAGGGTGGTGAAGACCTGGTTGCATCTATTATAGCACAATGTCTTGGGATGATTTCTTGCCGGTTGTGCTGCCGAGACCCACTGCTACATTTTGCCATGTTTTCTTGACTCCCAAGTGGATGGAAACTTCATTTGGTTGTAGGGAGAGAACACAATTACATTCTGTTGCTGTTTGTTTGTTTAGATGACACGCTCTTGACACTGTTGGAATGCCTACCCCTTGTTGTTGAATGTGGTTGTGCATTGATTTTCTTTCATGGAGGCCAGGAAATTTGACGTGAAGTGAATTATAAGTTTGTAATCTGGAACTCTAGGATTCAGTCCCCAAGTCATACTCAGGGTAGGCCCACTAAAGTCAATTGACTTAAGGTCCTCATCTACACTAAGCATTTTAAAGAAGGACCGTGCCAGCCATGGCTTACCCCTATAAATCCTGGAAATGTAGTTTGTTATGGTGCTGAGAGTTGTTAGGAAACCCTTGTTGCCTTCATAGAACTTCCCTGCGAAGAGGAATGGACTGTTCAACCACCCTGGGAATGTGGCTCGCGAGGGGATAGGGTCTCCTGAGACTTGCAGCAGCTTTAACAAACCACAGCTCCCATAATCATTTAGGGAAAGCCATGACTATTTAAAATGCCTAGAGCTTGCCGATCAGAAGGTCAGCAGTTCAAATCCCCACAATGGGGTGAGCTCCCGTTGCTTGGTCCCTGCTCCTGCCAACCTAGCAGTTCGAAAGCACATCAAAGTGCAAGTAGATAAATAGGTACCGCTCCAGCAGGAAGGTAAATGGCATTTCCATGCGCTGCCCTGGTTCGCCAGAAGCGGCTTAGTCATTCTGGCCACATGACCCGGAAGCTGTACACTGGCTCCCTCGGCCAATAAAGCGAGATGAGCGCCACAACCCCAGAGTCGTCCACAACTGGACATAATGGTCAGGGGTCCCTTTACTTCGTCACATCCAGCAATTTCAATGGGTCTACTCTGAGTAGGGCTAACACCAGCTATCTCTTAAAATTCCTCAAAGCAGCAAGATCTGAGGGCATTTATTTGCTCCTATTGCTGTAATTAGCATGATTCTGATTTTTTCTGCTCGGCAGACTACAGATGGGTGACAGTAGGGTGGCTACTTAACATATCACCAAAGAAAAGAGGACACAGATTCACATAAAATTTGCATGTACCACTTCATATGTATGCATGCAAATATAGTGAATATGGTTATAATTTAAGTAGAAATACACTGCAAGTCACCATAGTAGGAAAGACAGAGACTAGGTGACCTGCTTGTCTCAGGGCTAGCCATTGACGGATGGCTTCAAGGTGCTGGCCAGGGTGATGGGAGTTGTAGTCCAAAACATGTGGATGGCACCAGCTTGGTGAAGAGTGAAGTAAGTTAGTGCTGAGTGAAACCATGTCTGCCTTACTTCTTGCTGCCTTGAGCAATTTAAACCTATGGTCCAGAATCCCAGATTGCAACTGTCACTCTCCCACCTTCTGCTGCAGTGAATTGCAATTCTATTTGGGTTACTTGCATCCATTGTCCCTCATGCAAGCCAGGCACAGAGCCAGAAATTAACAAATAATAAAGGATATGTCAAATTTGGCAATGGGTTTCTTCCCCCCATAATTCAATTAAGTATTTAAAGTCTTCCAAGGAGGAACCATTAGGATGGTGGATGCATCAGTGGCGGAGCATCTGCTTTGCATGCAGAAGGTCCCAGGTTCAGTCCCCAGTGGCATCTCCAGGTAGGGGTGGGGGAGACTTCTGCCTGAAACCCCAGAGAGCCTCTGCCAGTCAGCACAGGCAATACTGAACAAGATGGGCCAATGGTCTGACTCAGGAGAAGGCAGCATCCTTTGTTTCCAGGTTGGTGTTGCAGGATTGAGACCTAGTGCAACCCAGAACGGGGTGAGAATGCATTTTAAAGACAAGGCGGATGTCACATCCCAGAATCTACAGGCCGAAAGGGAGAGGGAGTTAGCAGACCCCACCAAGTTAGCAGACCCACCAAGTGCCCCTACTTTCCAGGGACGTGCCTGATTGAGAGAAGCCGTCCCGGAATGTCCTTAGGACATCCTTATTTCCATTGGAGAAATGTTGGAGGGTATGGAGTTATCCAGTCCCCCAAGCCATCTGAAGGCAATCCTGTATAGGGAAGGTTTTTTAAAAAATATTTCATGTTTTATTATATTTTTATATACATTGGAAGCTACCCAGAGTGACTGGGGCAACCCAGTAAGATGTGTGGGTGTATAAACAGTAAAATTATCACTATGGAATGGGATGTCCTGATTTTCATCAGAGAAATGTTGGAGGGTATGAGTTAGTTGAGAGTAAAAGGTAACCCACTGGGGATCAAATACGGTGAAACTGTCCAGAAATTACACACAGTGCAAGAGCGGCTTCAAATCTCCACCAACTTCCAAGAGTTACTTCACACATTTAACTGCAGAGGTGTGGCACTTTAGGCCGGGGGCCAAATGTGGCCCACTGGCTCTTTCTATCTGGCCTGAAGGCCTTTCCCGAGGCCACATCCCTCACCACCCCCACTTCACCACCCCACCTTTACCTGGCTAGGGTATATCCTGAAACACTGGTGATTTTTCCTTGCATGCTTGGATCAAGAATCGAGAGTGTGTGTGCACGCATATGCACATACGCATGCATAGAAACTAGCCTACTGAACAAAGGCAAAAGTTATATTCATTGCTCTACCCACTTTTGGCTTTGGTCTTGCCCACCACTGGCATGTGGTCCTAGAAGGTTACCCAGATGGGAATGTGGTGCTTGGCTTGAAAATATCCCCTACCCCAGTAGGGTTGGCTTGGCTAACAACCTTTATAGGCAATGCCTGTTGAGGTAGGTGCAGGTAGATTTTTAGCTGTGGCTGTTTTGTGAATGTTTGTTGTTGGGCAATCAATGCGAGAAGCAAATAAATAGAAAATCTATCCCTGGCATACAAGTTGCCCTCTCCCCAGGAAGTCACCGGAGAAGCACTAGCTTGCAAAGCAGACAGAAGGAATCCTATTGCAACCAAGACGCAGGAGGGGATCCTATGCGGCTTCTCCTTCTGCCAAAAAACAGCCACCACTGCTGGGACTCTTAAGCTGGCCAGTCTACACCATCAGCAGTTCCAAGCCCCAACACTTTCCCTGGGCTCAAGAGCAGCCCAAAATGAAATAAAGGAATCTCCATCCTCTCTGAGATTCCTCTCTCCCTCAACAAATTATTCCCCCTTCAAATAATTATCCTGCCCTGCTACAAGCGTCATCTTCATTGAAGATTCCCCTGAATAATTTCTATTTTGATTAACTCCCCCCACACACCCTAGACAGATTTGTGGAGCAGAAGGCTACTGATGACTGCTAGCCACAATGGCTATGCTCAGCCCCCATATTCAGAGGGAGTAATGCTTCTGAATACCAGTTGCTGGAACCTGCAGGAGGGGAGAGGGCTGTTGTGGTTGGGCCCTGCTTGTGGACCTCCCTCAAGAATCTGGTTGGCCTCTGTGAAAACAGGAAGATGGACTGGATGGGCCACTGGCCTGATCCAGGAAAGCTCTTAACAAGTTATTACGGAGGGTCACGGGTTCCTCATCCTTGGAGAACAAGATGGAACCCTGCATGTGAGAGTCCCTGCTTGTGGCCTATACCTTAGCAAAATTATTTCTCCCACTAGACCTGCATTAAAAAAAAAAAAAACATTTTATTACAGGGCATGCATTTTTAAGCTGCCACAAAAGCAGCAGCTTCCTTTGTTAACTAATTCTGGTTCGGTGTCATCCCAAGTTCTTGAGTCACTTGGTTTTTTTCCACTTGCACCCACTCACTCTGGGTTTTTTGCACATCTACACACAGGGGTGCCAACTTGAATAAAATATTGAAGGGGGGGAGGTAATCCCCGCCTCGCATAATCAATCACATGACACAGTGCATGCACACCATTTGAATGGCAATGCCCATCAACCTGGGGGTTGACCCCCTCAAATATTTTATTGGGAAGCCAAAGCCCCCTCAGGCCCTAGGAGTTAGCTCCTATGTCTCTACCATATTGATTGTTTCTCCCACAACAGCTGGTCCCCTTTTTCTTCACTGCTGGCCAAATACATCTTTCTCTGAAGGATGCTGTTCTGTTAGCATAGCCAATAAGCTCTCACTCTCTGCATCCGGGTTGAGCTGCTCTGTTCTGTGATTTGTGGCTTGCTCACTCTCTCTATCAGCAGCGAAAGAAACTGCATAGTCATCTTATTTCCTTTTTCTTTACATCTTTGCTTCCTGTGTGATGACATCTTTCACTTAAAGTGGTAGGCGTTGTCCTGGCACCCAGGCTGTCTCAGAAGTCCAAAGAGGGCACTGCTACTTTGGGCCATAATACCGTTAAAAAATGATACTTTAAAACAAAATAAAACACAAGGAAGGAAGGAAGGAAGGAAGGAAGGAAGGAAGGAAGGAAGGAAGGAAGGAAGTGTTTTTTTCTGTAATCAGCTGGTCTGGACACGTTCATCATGGCCTAATCTTGTTGTCGGACTCCCATCAGCCCCAGCCAGCATGTCCCAGTGGTCGGGGTTGATCAGAGTTGGTGTCCAACAGCATTTGGAAGGCACTACATTGGCTACCTCAGGGTTGCTGGGTCTGAGCTGCCATTTAAATGTCCCACAATGCCGTCAAGCAATGCAAGGAGAATTGTAAGAAATTAAAATGGCAGGGCAGGTTCAGCTACCTGGTATGGCAAGAGTGGGCCCTGGATTCTGGGGTCCTGTTAACTTCCCAGTAGAGTTGCATGTAGACCCCCAGAGCCTGTCTGTGTGCTCTTCCCTTGAAGAGCAGAAAACTGTAGCCCTGAAATCTCAAGATTCCCTGGTTCGTTTTGTAAATAAAGCGCCAGGGAACGAATGATAATGATGGATTGGCACCTACCCACTA